TTAACAAAGGAACGTTTTGACAAGAGGTGTCTTGTCAATGTCACATTGAGATTGAGAACGGTGTGACCATTTGTGGCAGATTTCTGCCATTTGGGCAGATTTAATTTTTATTCATTGTCAGTGCGGCAGACCATGTTAACGTTGTATTAAATGTAGCACAGTTTGGCAAATTTTAAAAGTTTTTTATTATTTTTGGGAATAAACTGAAAAGTTGTTGTTTTCTGCTACTACGAACAAATATCTGAAGTGAAATACCTGACAATGTAATTATTATATATATTACATGATAATGTATAACCCCAGTTCCTACAGGCGGTACTCGATTAGTTTTTTTGATGCTTTGATAATGAATCACATGTATTGATAGGCCTCTTTAATGGACGTCGTCAAAAACACAGGATCACAAAATACACAAGATGTCGCCATCCTTTACCTGATCGGAGAAGCACAAAAAAATTTCTCCGATTACGTGTCGAGGCACTAACCCACACTGGGCAGTTTCACGGCTATTACCAGGAGAACTTCCACAGTGACCATATTTGAGTCCGTAGAATGAATGTGACAAGTAACATTGCCATCATTGTACCGCACAATGCGAGAAATTCACCCCCCTTATATACCCCCCTTGTCCCTATTCACACCGTTGATTGTAGCTGTAAAACAATTACATCACTATTGTATGTCTTAATAAGTTAGTTATAATGTAAGTTGTAAATATAAAATATATTTTTTACCAATTTGACTTTTCTTATTACTTTTGGAGCTTGGTTCACATTGGAGTTTTAGGAAGGTAAGACAATAGTCAAGTGTGGTAAAAATTATATATATATATAAAAGCCACGGGATCCCTCTGTGCCTTACTCACTTACCAAACGTATTTATGATGCGAATGTGGATGGAAAGGTTTTAAGAGGAAGTCCCAGACGGACTACATTGACCAGATCAGTGATGTCCTCAAAAAGGCAGGGATCCGAAGTGACAAGAATAAGTTGTATGAAAAGGGTAGTTGATGTATGTAAGGCTCGATAGTTCTGTCAGGATAGAGAAAGGTGGCGTTCCGTGGTGTCTCTGCCTACCCTTCCTGTGGGACAAGGGCGTGAGCTTATGTATGTAATTTTTTTAAAGTAACTGAATCTGAATTGGTCGTTTATAATAATCAGTACAGAGTACTGAAAAAAGCGACCTCAAAAGTACGTGGAATTACGTCTATTTGCTATTTGTTAAATCGGCTAACAAAAACGCAGCTTAGTGACAAAATAATGTTTTGACATATTATAAAAAAAACCATAACCCAGATTTAGGATATTGAAATTGTTTAGTGATATTTCAGCTATACACCGTTAGGGAAAGTTCCGATAAGTCGAACTCGTTAACTAATTTTAACTATTTTTAAAAGAGAATTTTGTATTTGAAACGGATGTTTGACCATTTGTCACTTAGCCTTTTTAGTTAGTGTACGGCAGAATTGTGTAACGTACGAACTAGATACTTCCACATTATAATGATAATTCCACAGCTGCAGTCGGCGACGGCTGGCGAAGTGCCACGAAGGCGCGGTGTGATATCAAACGTCTATTCAATACTACAGCCTCACCCTGAGACAAGTTGACTATGACGTGCCTTATACCAGCGTGACCATGGTCGAGTTTTGTTTCTAGTCGCAAAAAACTAGATTTAGTCGGTCCGCCGTTCAAAAGTTCCGACTAAATAGCGACTTTTTTCTGGCTGGCCAAATTTCAAAATCTCATCCATGGTCACGCTGGAATAAGGCACGCGTTGACCAGAACCCTTACCCTTCGAAACTGGAGGCGGTAATGCTAATATTACTGCTTGGAGGCAGAAATAGATATGATAGAAGTACTTCCCGGGACGAACTCTTTTGCAAGGAGCAATTATTTGGCCCGCTACGTTCCAGTCTATTGACGCACCGTGTCTTCGGTGGATAATATAAATTGCCTAAATAAAATATTTAAAAATTTTGGGCCTAGGGCGCCCACACTTTAAATCCGGCCCTGATGATGCTGGAAGAAGACACGCCTCGAAAGCGATAAGCGCCCAGTTACACGACGCGAAAGTTTTCCGGAAAGGCTGGACATTGTTCTACTATCCGGTATCCGGCTTGTTACTAAAAATAGGACGGATACCGGATAGTTAACGGATATACGTTTCATCTCTAGTTAAAATATATAAAACGTAAAAGTATAGAGCGTATTATGCCATGACAGTTAGACACACGCGGTTTCCGCGCGGCGTGAGAGCGATGGAATTCGTGTCGAATAAAATGTACCCTTAAGTAAGTGTTGAAGGAAAAAATTAAGCTATTTTTCGTAAAGAAACTTCTAAATAATCGTTTTTATAGGACAAGTTTTATTACGATTACCTTGTTCGACCCGTTGAAACACCGAGTCTAAATTCTTGTCCAGCAGAACAACACGGGCTGGAACAGTTGAAGCAACAAAATTACAAAGTTTTAATCACACTTCGAAATTCGCGCTCGTGCCGCCATTTTGAAATTGTCGGCTGACTTTTTAATTTGGTCGCATGTGTGGTGCAATAGTGTGTAATCAGTCATATTCTTTTGTTTGCGATAGCAAAATGATTCACTGTCGAAGTGCCACTTGAGTTGTGCTATGCGACGTTTGAAGTATTCTCGTGTGAAAATTAAATAATTATATATTAAAATAATTAAAGAAGATAGTGTGTGCCAGAAGCAGATTATTTTGTTGTGATAGAAAAGAGTAAGTAGTATAATATCCTTTCGGTTTTTATGTATGACATCAGTGTTAAAAACCCATTAAAGAAAGGCATTCGGTGAATTTACACGTTTTGCAAGTTTCATCACGCTGTTTCCTGGCATAAAAATACAAATCTAGGTAGAGTGGAAGTAACATACACATTTTGAATTTCGGTCTGTGACCTGATATAAAAAAAAAATTGAAATTTGAAAAAAGAAAAATAACAAAACAAATTTTGCGCGCCAAAAAGAAGTAACACACAGACAATATATACGCCGCAAGTGTACCTTCTGCGTCCTTATTTTGATTCAAAACGGAATCGATCCTATCGGGTAGTCTCGAAATCAGATGAGTTTCTGAGCGAAAAGATGAACCTGATTTCTACTATATCTTTCTAATTTGTGGGTTAAATCAACTATTGTTCCGATTAGAAATGTCACAAGTTTCCGATCGGCAGTTGTGAATCCCAATTATGCGCCTCGACTCGGAAGAGACGCAGTTTCCAAACCGGGAGAGTTGGCGTGCTCTAGGGGAGGCTTATGTCCAGCAGTGGATGCATGTAGGCTGATGTTGATATTGTTGGTGTACTTGGATAAAAAAGTTTTGTATTTTTGCTGAAAACTACAGCCAGTGTATGCTTGTTTAATTATGTAAAGGGATATTGTGTAGTTCAAACCGTTTTTTTTTTAACCGACTTCAAAAAAGGAGGAGGTTCTCAATTCGACTGTATGTTCTTTTTTTTGTATGTATGTTACGCGATAACGCCGGTATTTGTGAACCGATTTTCATGATTCTTTTTTTGTTGGAAAGGGGGTACTTTCAAAATTATCCACCTCGAAGGGTGGCTGTTCACGCATGAAGATTCATTTTTATAAATAGCGCCTAACTTTAATTTAGGAGCTTTAATTTAATGGTTGATTTTGCTAATTCTCCAATTCAAGGCGTTTTTCTCTCAATATACTTTGAGTAGTGAGAACCGGTTTTTATTATCTCCAGTGTCAAGTCCTGTATAGTGGCGAACTAGGGGATATTTCAATAAAACTTAGCAAATAGACGTACTATTCACGTACTTTTGAGGTCGGTTTCTTTAGTACTCTGTACTGAGATTATTATTATTTAATAAAATAGTTTCATTTTATCATTACCCGCTGTATGAAAATGTCAGCGTTAAAGATTCTTTCAAAACACATATTCGTAAAGAGCTTAAGTGTCTTATTCTGGTATTATTTTACTATATTAATATTTCACGGCTTCTTATAATCAATAAATATTTGAAAAATCATTATTCTAAATACGTGATTTAATCTATCGCATTAGCGCTGAAGGAGGTTTCCCATCACTAAACAGCGTTTGTGACGTCATCAGAGGTACAGGGTCAAGAACACGTCAAGCTTGACACTTAAGATTTAAATCCAACTCTATGCCGCTTACGATAAGAACGGTCCAAAGTACAAAGTATCAAGCCTGATGTGCTTTTGACTGTACAAAAACTGTGGCACGCGGTTTTTTTACAGGTCGCGGTACTTGCGGCGTTTAATTAGATATCACTGGGAAGTAACACGACAGGGTCTCAGGAATCGTCATTTTATTAATTGAATTGATTACAATCCTTATTTTGAGCACTACCTAACTTAGTAGTTACTTTGTAAGTTAACTACCACCACTGAACCCTGTTCTTGTCTCAATAATATTGTTAATAATGGCTCTGGCACGGTTTGCTAGAAGACGTCGGTTTGAATCCGGCCGGATCGAAGAATTTTTTTCTAAGTATTCGATCTTTGTATTAATAATTATAACAAACTAGTGGAGTAATTCCACAAAAAATAATTGAATATCAATTCAACACAAATTTAATTATATTGTTAATTATTATGCTTCTCATTTACAGATATTCTGTAGTTAACAATTAAAAGTATGGAAAAGGAAAAATGGCTGGCAATACTATCAAAACTAGAGAAAAATCCAGAAGACGTTATAGAATATTTAAAAGAAGAACTAAGAGAAAATAATTTACAACTATTGAAAGAATGGGAATCAACAAATTTTGACATAAATCACAAATTTGAAATTATACATATTAACACAGTTGAATTTTATAGAAACAATTTGTCACACTTAAACATGGCGGCAAAGTATGGCTTTGAAAAAATAATACTCTGCCTTTTAAAATTAGGTCCAAACCTAAATATTACTGATGATAATAACAACACAGCTCTGTTACTGTCTATTAAAAACAATTTTACAAATATAGCTAAAATATTAATTGAAAACAATGCTAATATAGAAATATTTAACAAAAAACACGAAACACCACTGCATTGGGCTTGTCAAAACGGCCATATTGAGTTAACAAAGTTACTTTTAAATAGACGAGCAAATTTGGAAGCAAAAGACGGAAATGGTGCAACTCCCTTAATGCAAGCATGCGAAGGAGGTCACATAGATGTCATAAAATACTTAATTGAAAAAGATGCAAATTTGAATACGCTCGCGTGTGATCAAAGCTCATGCTTACATGTAGCTGCATATAACGGACATTTAAATGTAGTAAAGTATCTTGTAAATGACAAAAACGTGAATATTAACGCTGTTGATGATGAAGGTTGGACTCCATTGCATTTCGCTACTATGAAAGCTTATTTCGAAATTGTGAAATTCCTTGTAGATAACGAGGCAAATGTAGATGTGCGATGTCATAATAATGCCACTGCTCTCAATTATGCCTATAGTTTAGACATCGCTAAATACCTGATTGATGTTGGCAAAGCTGATTTAAATAATTTAGACTATTTAGGAAGAAATATTTTGCATACAGCTTGTGTCTGTGATGAAATAGACATCGTAAAATACTTGGTAGACGATAAAGACATGGACATTACAATCAGAGACATTAGAAATATCACACCATTACACTTGGCGACTCTAGAAGGTGCTCTAGATATTGTTAAGTACCTTGTACAAAAAGAAGCCGATATTGATGTTATAGACGAAGATTTAAGAAAACTAATACATTATGCTGCACTGGGTGGTCATTTGGACCTATTGAAATATCTTATTGAAGAGAAAAGTGCTGATTTTATGGACAAAGATTTCAATGGAAAAACTGTATTAGATTTAGCCGCGTCTAAAGGCCATCTTGATATAGTTAAGTTTTTAATAGATGACAAGCGTATGGACTGTAATTTAAAAGATTTAGGCGCTTCAGTGCTACGTGAAGCTTGTGAAAAAAATAGATTGGAAGTCGTTAAATATCTGATTGAAGAAAAACACGCCGACATTTCTGTTAAAGATGTTGATGGTGTAAATATACTACACTGTGCCAGTGTTGGTGGGTTAGAGACGGTGAAGTATCTTATTGAAGAGGTAAACTTAGATCCAAATGGAAGAGACAACGGTGACTGGGCACCTATACATATGGCAGTAACTAACAATCATAGAAGTGTAGTAGAATATCTAGTTACTACAGCAAAAGTAGACGTAAACTCTAGAACGGATTATGGATTTACACCAGTGCTTTTGGCTGCTAGTAAAAATTTACAGCTGTTCAAGTATTTCGTCGAAGATTTAAAAGTTAATTTTAAAGTTTCAAATAATGAAAACTTAACTCCTCTTAATTTTGCGGCCAATTGTGGTCAGTTTGATATTGTTAAATATCTTATAGATGAAAAGCATGATGATGTTAATATGGTAGATTCAGGTGGTAGGACAATATTACATGAGGCTGTCGAAAGCGGCTATATTGAAATGTTAGACTATCTTATTAGAGAAAGACAAATAAATTGTAACGTTAAGGACAATGATAATTTGACACCGTTTGCATTTGCTGTGAAAAGGAATATGACGGACGTGGTTAAGTATTTTTTGGATAATTTTGACTGGGAAGAAATTGGTGATAGTGTTGTTTTGAGTATAGTTAATGATTGCGATGGAGAGGTTAAACAATTATTTAGAAATAGAGATATTATAGTAAATGAATAACTTGCGCGTGACAGTTTTAATAAGGCTCAATGTATTTTTTTAAAGTTGGGCGTGTGCCTTTCCAGGGTCACCATAATCAAGAAATTAAAATTGTATTAGTCAGGTAAAAATGTAATTAGTCTGGTAAGTCTTAATTTTTAACCGACTTCAAAAAAGGAGGAGGTTTTTTTGTATGTATGTTACGCGACAGCTCCGGTATTTATGAACCGATTTTCATGATTCTTTTTTTGTTTGAAAGGGGGTACTTCCATAGTGGTCCATTTCATTTTCAAGAATATCATCTACCTCGAAGGGTGGCTGTTGACGCGTGAAGATTCGTTTTCATAAATAGCGCCTAACATTAATTTAGGAGCAATTACTTTAATGGTTGATTTTGCTATTTCTCCAATTCGAGGCGTTTTTCTCTCAATATACTTTGAGTAGTGAGAACCGATTTTTATTATCTCCAGTGTCAAGTCGTGTATAGTGGCGAACTAGGCGATATTTCAAAAAAACTTAGCAAATAGACGTAATTCCACGTACTTTTGAGGTCGGTTTTTTTAGTACTCTGTACTGAGATTATGTATATTGTAGTGGCATTAAATAATATTGATTAAATAATGAAATATTTGTCTTTTTTATACATATAAAAATAAGTGCGCGTTTGACCTTCTCACCTGATGGAACGTGACGATGAGGTCGACGATGTGGCATGCACACAAGAGATGAAACGGATACCCGGATAGTAGAACATTATCCGGCCGGATACCGGATGTTAGAAACTGAGGAAAATTCAGCTAGCACGCCAAATAAATTGATTTGTTGATTAAAGTTGACGATAGTAATAGGATGAACTATGAAATTAGATGACGTTATGAGTAAAAGTAGTAAAACTTGAATAGAGGCAAATTATGGCGGATGAAGACAAATTATTCTGCTTTGGTAAAAGTTAGTTCTATTTATTTTCATAAATGAGACCAGCTTCAGAGGACAATTTTTCATTACAAACTCTTCCATATTTTAAACCGACTTCAAAAAAGGAGGAGGTTCTCAATTCGACTGTATGTTCTTTTTTTGTATGTATGTTACGCGATAACTCCGGTATTTGTGAACCGATTTTCATGATTCTTTTTTTGTTGGAAATGGGGTACTTCCATAGTGGTCCCATTTCATTTTGAAGAAAGTCATCCACCTAGAAGGGTGGCTGTTCACGCATGAAGATTCATTTCTATAAATAGCGCCTAACTGTAATTTAGGAGCAATTACTTTAATGGTTGATTTTGCTATTTCTCCAATTCAAGGCGTTTTTCTCTCAATATACTTTGAGTAGTGAGAACCGATTTTTATTATCTCCTATGTCAAGTTCTGTATAGTGGCGAACTAAGGGATATCTCAATAAAACTTAGCAAATAGACGTAATTCCACGTACTTTTTAGGTCGGTTTTTTTAGTACTCTGTACTGAGATTATGTTATTGCCAGACGACCAAATCAAAGGGTCACTATCACGATTGATTTTAACTGTCTTCAAATACAGTGTGTACCTACAATAATGATATGTGTAAGTAGACAAAAAATATGTTTTGGCAAATCAGGTATCAAGGCTTAGAATTAGTTGGATCACAAACAAGAAATTGAAACAAAATTAACGGGAAAAACAAGCGCTAGGCTTCTACCTATAACAACTTGAAATTTTAATAAAGTCAAAGAATGATGAAATTATTTTTCCGGATTTAAATCGCGTATATGTGTTTTTTCAAACAAACCGACGTTTCGGGCCCTTTACAGGTCCCATGGTCACGGTTGACTGAGGTGGTACAGTCTTCAACCAGTTATGTCTAATGTTGATGCAAACCACCCTATTTTTTCACTATAGTTACAATAGTTATTAATTAAATACCTTATTTTTAATTTTACAAAGAAAACATTCCAATTTACGCTACATTAAGTTTTACAAATTATTTTATTGAATGAATTTTTTATTAAGTTTAATCCATTATTAATTATTAATAGAAATTAGAATAAATTAAAACAAATTAAAACATATTAATTAGTACTGCAGTCTTATGTCTGTTTGGGATTTTTCATTAGAGGAAATACTGGATCCCAAACTGGTGGTACGGAGAAACCATCTTCCCTGTTGAAATTAGGATGTTTTTTAATTTCAATGGCCTCTCGCAGCATCCTGGGCAGATAACGGACTTCTTTTGCAAGGACCTGGGGTTTGTGGGAAAAATAGTTTCATTCCTATGTATAACAATCGCGAAAACCTAAGAACTCGAAATGATGAAATTGCTTTTTTTTCCTTCTCCACCGCGAGATATTTGCATTCGGCACAATGCAATGTTACAAACAGCACTGATATTAAAATATTGCCGAATTTGCGACTTTTTTCACTGTATTATCGAATAAATCAATCGTTTTTAACCGACTTCAAAAAAGGAGGATGTTCTCAATTCTACTGTTTTTTTTGTATGTATGTGACGCGATAACTCAGGTATTTGTGAAACGATTTTCATGATTCTTTTATTTTTGTAAAGAGGGTATCTCCATAGTGGTCCCATTTAATGTTGAAGAAAATCATCCACCTCTAAGGGTGGCTGTTCACGCATGAAGATTCATCTTTATAAATAGCGCCTAATTTTATTATAAGCAGTAATTATTTTAATGGTTGATTTTGCTATTTTCCAATTCAAGGCGTTATTCTCTCTCTATATTGTATATACTTTGAGAAGTGAGAACCGATTTTTATTATATTTTAGTGGCGAATTCAGTAGTAATCAGTAGAAATCAGCAGCATTCAACCGAGCTTACTGCAACGTATTGCACAAAACACGGGACTCCGTTTCGAACAACGTGTGTAACTCGACGGAAGACATTTGGATGAAGTTATCTTTAAAAAAGGTCAATGTTAAAAAATGAGATCCACATCCTTTCACTGTATAATATTCTCATTAAAAAGATATGTCGATTGTTTTTAATTTAATTTTGAAAACGTAAATCAGCCACCAGACATCCTGTACTTAAACTAAGCATTAATTTATAAAACTGCACTACACTCTAAACACTATGTTACGGACGGCCGTACGCGCCTAGCCGATCAGAGCTAGAATTGAGAGGAAAATAATTCAGGAGCTCTGATTAGCCGAGCGGCGTAGCGACCCATTGATAGGACCGGTACGGTATGGGAGACACCGCACCGTACCGGTATAAATATAAGCGATTTCATTCAGATTTGAATCGGATTTCTTGGTTTCTTAAATTAGTTGTTTCTTGCGCTCTTAGTAGTAAGACGTGTTTGTAAGTCAGATCGACATATATGAATATACAGTCCACTTCAGATTAAGGAAGTTTCATTTTACAATAAGGATATCGAAGGCGGAATAAAGAAGATTTCTTCAAGTTTCTGAAGTTTCAACACACTATATAATACAAAAACCCACAAACCTACATAATGAACCCGCCATTTCTCTTTGTGTACTTCGCTCATTCGCCGAGATGTATATAATTCATCCAATGATGAGCATACACACGATACGACGTCGTATCTATCGTGTGTGTGTGTAAGAACCCTTAGCTCTTTTTACCGTTTGACGTATGTTTCGTAGGAAGTGTTTTGAAATCATTGCACCTGTTTTATACTGCTATTTTTATTGTTACAGATCTCTTTTTCGCGTTATTCACCTTTTCTTCTGCCTCATTATACAATAAATGTGAACCGAGTCGTCTCTAATGGTTCCACTAGTGGGGCCAGTGAAGGGTTAATTTATAAGGTTTAATTCTTTTTATGTGTCGCATAGCCTGTATACAGGTAAAGATTCTTCTATACTCATGCTTTATTTAATTTATATTTAATCAGTCAACCTCAAGGAGATCCCTGTATAGCAGTCACAACGTCAAATCTAAAGAATAAATAAATTAAAGTCGAAATTTTTTATTATTATAATTTTAATATAAAAATTCCAAGCATTTTATCATACTTATAAGTAAGGGAAACCTAACATTTAATGTTTTGGAAATATATATTATTTTATTACAATAATTAATGACAATAATGATACATAGGGCGCCAGGTTTGTCACGCTTTTTGCTAAAACTACTTGTCAAACTATTTCTTTCCTACAGTTCCACTGGCAAATTATTATTATTGACCAGTAGAACTAGTGAAAAATATCACATCTCTCAGACTGACCAGTACAACTCAGTTGAACTAATGTTAACAAAATTACCTCACTGTTATACTAAGTTAAAAAGCCTACTTAAAAATCTGTCGATTAAAATTTTAAAAAGAGTCGTAAACAATGTTAACAAAAATCACACTTTTACTTTTTTCAATTTAGAAATGTTCTATCCGCAGTCCGATGAGACTTAACTGTCGTCGGTCTGGAAGTTATTGTTACAACCAAACGAACAATTTTTTAAACTTTTTTAAGATTATGGCTAGGATTACACAAGTTGGCATCAATTTATAAATTTATTTATGAGATATGGAAAACTGAACATTTTTAATAAATAAAAAATATGTCATCAACAGATACAATGACCTAAACCTAATGTTAACATTTTTTTCACAGTAATAATGTCTTGTTGTTACAGTGAGAATGCCACAAAGCACATATTTAATCACCACGTTAGGTTACATCATTTCGATATTATGTTTTTTTATATAAATATCAACTTAATAGGACTACGGCATAAAAATATTTCCATCTGTACTATTGTATTAACTCTTAGGTTTTTGTAACACCCAGTATATAACAAAATTTTGACTTGTCCAAGCTTTATGTACGAAAATGAGTTAAAATGTTGTTATTCTAAGATTTCTATAAAAATACGAAATTGTAAATTCTATACGGGTAACTTTTAATTTGTCGAGCAACATTAAAAAAACCCTTATCGAGTTCAAGGAAATTAAACTATTTTTTTGGATCCTAATTATGTATATTGTTTTTATAAGCAAATTAACATTTGGCTTTTTTTACAGATCGACTGCCAAAGTTGATCAAATTTCTTTTGATTGAAA